TTACATTTCGTATTCAAAGCATTAACATTAATTGTGACCTCGATGTTTTGACCTACTTTTAGTTGCACATTTTACTGGTGACCTATAACAAAAGAACACTGTTGTATATTCACATCAGCCACAAGGCTGGTCACAGTGTTATGGTTGATGGAAAGCACCTTTGGTCTGACCAAGCTGTAACTGCTGTGTCTGCTATATGTGTATGCTTGCTCATTTGTTCATGATGAGAGAGAGAAAGATGATGGGGAGGAAGATGGAGAAAAGGAATCATGCCCATAGCCAGCAATTTCAAAAGGGAGGTTCTTTTTCTAAAAAAAAAAAAAAAAGAGGACCTTTTACAGTGGAACTTTTGTGTATCTAGATCAAATTTTACCCAGAATTGACCTTTTCCTTACAAAAAGGGCGGTTCTTTCGAACCTCCCCTCCCCCCCCTCCCCTCCCCCCCCCTGGCTATGGGCCTGGGAATAATGGAGATAGTGGGAGAGCACCCAGAGAAAGATTGGTTAGGAAAGGGAAGAGGGCGGGAGAGGAAATACTGTGATCAGCTAGTTTATTTACACATGCATTCATATAATACTAGGGACATGTCTTGCCTCCTTGCTCAGCTGCTGAATTTGTAAAAGGAGTCAACAGGTAGAAGAAGAAAACTTATAGATGATTTTGTGGCCTTTGGGGTTTCCAGTGAAATAATATGTAGTCATCGTTACTTGCAATTATCTTGACTGGTGTAGAACAGAAGAGGGACTATCAATTAACATACAGCATATGGTGTTGTTTTGAATTATGACTGTTGTCATTGATCTTAATTGCCGAGTAATTAAATCATCCACACACATAATTTATTCATGATTGTCATCTGGGGTGGTCTGATCTATTGTGCATAGATGCATAATACAGCATGAGCTTGCACAGGTGCAGCTATTGTCAGTTGGGGTTCTGTCATTGGCAGCTAGATTTCAGGTTTTCAGTGTTTTTTAAAGCATTATGCCTTCTGTGCATGCATAGTGCATGGGCAGATATGTGCTCAAACTTCCATATGTCCACCTACTAAAAGCTTGCATACATATTCATGTGTACACGAGTCATCTTTCAGATAGTAATTATATGTAAAAGCAGGTGCAATTTAATAGTGTTGTGTACGTGTGCGTGTGTTTTTCATATATACTTTTCATTACAAATGCATGTGCATACATTAAAAAGTTAGCACAGGTCTTTGACAACTGCAAACCTCTCTGTTTGTCTTATTTACTCACAGATCAAACATAGTATGCCACAAGAAGACGGCATGATTTTGACTCAGGGCACCTGATACCTAATCTTTTGTTCAATGTTTCAGGCCATACTTTAATCTAAATCACTTTATAATAATAATAATAATAATTCTGCTGTATTGGCATCCTGATCATCTCTTGTCTTTGTGGCTGACCTCACAGTATGATGGCTCATTATAGCACCAATGAACTATGAACTTTTGAGCAATGCACTTATATTTACAACAAATAATGCAGTAAGCATTCAAAAACAAAAATTTATTTGATGTTAATGCCCCCCTCTCTCCCCATCCATGCCATAACTAAAATCACAACACAGAAATCAATGTACAACCACAGTTTTTATTCACTGGATATTGTATTATGTCTGACACACAAAGTCACATATTCACAGTGCATATGCTAAAACTGACATGAGATATACTAAAATACATAATAATTAACTTTAATCCAAATTAATTTAAAATATCAATGAAACCCTCATGAAAGCACTTATTATTTTTCCTCCAAAGTGAACATTTTACCACTTCATTTCATCTGACTTAGGTGATAGCAACAGATTCTGAGGTAGTAGACTATTTGATTTCACAAACGGAGCATATTGCATGCAAAGTTTTTTGATAATAACATTTTTGAAAGATGTCAAGCCCCTCTTAGCAAGGCTGGGCTATTTTGAAAATATAATTTTATTTAATATAGTATGTTAAGTTATGGGGGAAGACATCAGAACCCAGCAGATGTGATTGGCTTTCAGAGCCAGGCTTTCATATTAATATGCCTACCCATTGGTAGGTAAAGGAAGGGAGGAAAGGGGGGGATTTTTCTTCCTCTTCTTTCCCTTGCATCTGCATAAGATAAGTATGGAGTCTGCTAGGAAAATAAAACAGAGTATATCTCTTAACAAATACTGTATAATTTGTCAACCACTTTGCAAGCTCTGCATGTACATATATAGGTTTGTATATAAATGGTAGCCATTGATTCATTTAAGTTAGAAGTGTCTGTTATGGTATGTGTCTCAAAAACATTACTATGGGTCTCATTTTCCAAATTTAATGACCTCTCTCAAAATATTTTTTGCAAGTCAAGTTTTTAACCAAGAATTTGAAAAAACTCCAATTGTATATCAATCCATGAAGAATCCTATCACATATCTGTTTCAAACTTGATGTAAATGATTTCTTAAGGGCAGAGAAATGCTTATTGTAGCCTTTACGTATGCTTTGGATCAGTATAGCAGTTTTTAAGAACAGCATAGTGGCCAGGAGCAATGTTGCTTAACTTTCACTGCATCAGGTTTCTCTTAATTTTTGATACATGAAAAATAAATTATAACCCCACTGAATTAAAAAGAAGTGCTGTTGGTGTTCACCCACTGGCATGTAATCAGTTGTTCACCCCAGAAATCCAAAGGTTGGTGCAAACCAGAGAGACTTCGTTTAAACATGCAAGTTATTGGAGAATGAAGTTGGCTACTCAAAAAGTGGCTCATATTACACTAACATAATATAGTTATTACCCCAGCTGTGGTCTTATGTCATTGGAAGTGGCTCCGTAAAACACTAACACAATTTAAACAAATTATAAATATGTAGTATAACAATTCAAGTGTGAAATCCCAGGTCCTCCTGCCCTCTGCATATCCCAAACTATGGATGATATGTGGGATGTAGATATTTACACATTACAACTTAGTCATAATAAAATATATAATACACAGAATTAGTTTAGAAATTGTTCTTGATCAACCCGATTGGCATGCATACCCTTGACTCCAAATTATTACAATATAATAGTTATTATAATTAATAATAATGATGAAATAAATATCATTATGCATATGTGGCACATATATATATATGTAAGAATATATACAACATTAACAGAGAAAATTTAATGTACATTTGAAGCTCATGTTCTACAGTTCTAACATATCACATTTATTTATTAAAATTATTTTACTTATATACCCCTGTTATATACACACAAAACAAACAGTTAACTGCTGTTTTACACAATAGAAAACTCTCCTAGCCAGCCCCTTAGTTGAAACTTTTTACTGGCATGCAAATTATATGGCATGCATTTTGTCAGTTCTCTTCGCAAGGTCTGATTTTTCCACCTAGCCAACATTGAAAATGATCACTTTCACAACTCATTTAACCCTTTTTAAATATATGTGAATGTGTGTTAAATTAAGTTTCATCAATAATTACAGTCAGCATGTCATTGTATCATCTTGAAATTTGAACATGAATGCAAAATCTGAGAAAAGAACAAGCTGTTCTTGATAAGATTTGTGCTTCTTTGGCATTTGTCTAGGGGATTAACCTTAGTACCTAAATTTATCTGAGCATTCAGTGCCAGACTTTTTACCATTAAGTCATTGACAAGTTGTGTTCCTTTGCTAAGTAATAGATGTGAGTGCATCCATAAACAACTCTTGTCAGCTGAAATACACAACAAGCATCTCTGTTCTTATCCATCAATCGACAGCTATGTGAGAAAGATGTCAAATAATACATGTGGTGTTTTTAACATTGAATTGGCTCTGGACTGACCATTCAAGTGACTATGGTCAGTTATAGAAATGTGGCCTATCATAACCATTGCAAAACAGGCCTAAATGTGAGTAAAATGCTTCAACAATTCTTGGGCAATAGGTAGTAATGGGAAGGTGAAACCAGGTCAGAAGAATTGAGCTCTTATACTAAGTACCTGTGTACATGTTGAATGCTGAAGGTCAAGCAGTCTGGAGGCTCTGTCACCTTCATGGTCACTGATTTGGTGCTGCTGGCTTTCTCATGCCAAAATTACATGACATGTTCACATTGGCAATATTAAACCAGAGTAAAATATATTATCTATTACTTTGATTGATACAAAAGTTTATTTGTAAGATTTGATTTATTTTGGGTTTTTTTGCTGAGCAGTGGGAGTAGAATATTATGAGAATGTAGGGTATCATACTTTTAAAATAGACATGATATTGTGACACATTTCAGAGGGAAGAGTTCTTGTGGATTTGAATAAAGTAAATCTGAAGAAATGGGCATGGCTCAAAAAGATAATAACAGTATTGTAGAAAGTAAAGTACTGCTATTGATATCCTGGAAGAAGGATTTCCACTTGACCCAGCTTCTGAAAAGCACATGGAATCATAACTGTATCCTCAGCACCGTTCCACCCTCCAGGTTCTGAAAGCCCCTTAATTAGGATTCCCACTGTCTGATTGGATGACTGGAATACCTCCTGGGTGGATTGCCTGTACTTAAAATGACTGATAGAGGTGTGGTAATCTCGAGAGAGTAAATATATGGTCTAGGCGCCAAACTAGACAAGCTGATGCTTCTGAATTGGCCAGCTGGGAAATCCTCAGGAAGCAGATCAAAGTTGTTGTTTTTTTAATAGAAAAGTCTGATACAAAATCAATTCTATTACAATAAATGCTAACGTTGTGGCATTTTGTTTTATTTAGGTGTGAGTAGCACACTAATTGCAATCTAAAATAATGGAGTGAAGATGGGGAGCTCCTCTAGGTCTTTCAGCTAATAACATTTCTCAATAACTTATATGACTTTTTTATGACTTTTTTCAGATTGAAAAGAAGGGGTTATGTTATTAGCCTAAAACGATTGCTTTCATTTACATTTCTTTTCTTTTTAAACAATATAGTTTAAATGCCTTAAACAAAGTTATTCAATGCAATCCTGTCTTTTCTGTTTGCAGGTGTTGTGTCCCCAGAAGCCAAGTTTTACTGCCAGTGTGTGAATAAGGAGAACATCCATATGTCAGTGACAGCAAAAAGGAAAAGCAAAGGAAAATCACTGCATATCCATAGAAGGAAAATGAAAGCACCAGTGAAACCAGATATGCAATGTGTGAATAAGGAGAACATCCATATGTCAATGACAGCAAAAAGAAAAAGCAAAGGAAAATCACTGCATATCCACAGGAGGAAAATGAAAGCACAGGTTAATCATTTATGTGACAAGTGAAATGTTAAAAAACTTTCATGGTGTGTATCTTCATGGATGGGAAGTAAATCACCAAAGGTTCATTACCTTGAGTGGTATCAATGTTGCAAAAATGAAAGTGAAACCTGATTTGAAAAGGATAGCCATGGAATACTTAAAAAAGGCAGCCACTTTTTGGATACATAATTAGAAAATGATCAGGTTCATTATCTTGAGCATTATCAAGGTTGCAAAACAAGAAAAGGAAACCAAATTTGAATAGGAGAGCCACAGAATACTTTAAACAGCAACCACTTTTTGGATACAAAATTGGAAGATGGTATATTAGAGAATCTCAAATTCTTCCAGGAGAAATTTGTGAAAAGGATACATAATGAGGAAGTTAAAGACCTGTTCTAAAAACGTGGATATATACTGGCAACATGAGAGGAAAACATTTTCTGGTTATGTTATTATACCACATGAGCTGACTACCTTTCAACATGGGATACGTCTTTCTGATGAACCTTAGTTTGCAGGCTGAACTACAGTGGTTTGACTGTCTCAGACTTGTCCTGATTTGTATATGAATTGCATGTGTAGCACATAGGATGATTGACTAAAATACCATCAGAATGCCAGAAAAAATATTCTGCATAATGCATAACATTTGCTTAATTACAGAGGTTGCAAAGCCTGATGCAATTTGGTTGTTTTTACCTGGATATACCTAAGTATTTGTTTTTCCCTTGTTATTTGTTGTTTCCAGACAGTGCCAAGATAACTACTTGATCTTTGTTTCCATAACACAATGCAGCATAGTAGTAGCATGGATAATCTAACAAGTCATATTGTTTTAAAGTATAGTTGGTCTTTCTCAACAACAGTAATTGAGTTCAATTGTCCAACAACAGTGTCAAGAACTTAGAAGTGAAAGGATGGCAGCAAAATGCCTTATCTGGTCAATGGCTTTAACTGGACTTGGGGAATTTGAAAGCACAATATGCCATATTCCAGGTTAACCACACACATTTGGTACCTTCCACAGCTTTTCGGAGGTGCTGTCCCTTTTGCACAACAGAAACAGTCTTTGAAATGCACGTACTTGATCATGGAGCTGCACTCGTCACTACCCTGGCTATAACATACCAGATTTGAAGAATCATCACACAAATGGCTAACACATCACAGGCAGCCATTGATGTAGCTATCCAGAAATGCCTCTTGTCCATGTCCTTTCTGTTACATGTGGGACTGCTTGGAAAGCCTAAAATAATGTGAGACATTAGCCCCTTACATAATGTCCACTGCCTATATCTTTTGTTGGAGACCTGCCAAAGAAAATGGTGATTGCTGGACCCTGCTGAACAGTGCTGGACACTGGCCTCAAAGGTCATTTCCCAGTGAATTTTTACAAAAAGTTACATTGTTTGTCATTGGCCTTTGGAGATGTCCAGGTCCTGTGGGCAGTTGAACAGTTTTACCAGGAAAGGCCTTTCTGACCCTTTCATTGGTCAGTGTCCACTCTGGCTTAATTGGCAAAAGATTGTCTCAAGGGTTGCCACACCCAGGAACTTTGTGCTGTGTCATGTTGACTCTGTCGTCCTTTACACTGGCTACAGTATGTCATATTTATTTGTTTCTGAGCCAGATGTCATGTTTTCTAGTATGCCACTTGTTTTTTCACGACTGTGACACTGTTTGTGTGTCATGACAAGTCCATATGACACTTTCCATAGCATGCCATATACTGCATCATTTGCTTCTGAACATTGTCAAAGTATGGCCATTGACACATTGCTGTTGTCACACAGTGACATCTGCCCATGCATCACTTTCTGTAGCATGTCATATATACTGTCATTTGTCACTCTACATCACGCATAGGTGTATGCACCCCTGGAAGTAGAGAAGAATGTCTTTAGAACATGTGAAATCATTTATTAACAAAAAACAGTTGAGAAAACAATCTCTAGCTGGCCTTTGAACTGGCAGTGTCTACATTGGATGATATTAGTTAGATGAAAAAGCACAATCAGCCAAACTATAAAGGTGGAGATCTGTTTCCTCAAATTAAATGTGACACCATAAATATTTCTGGCTGGTATATCATGAATTAAATTATGACACGATAGCTGTGGCAGTCTGTATAAGGCTTGTATACTGTTGAAATCCTTTAAGCTAGCTGTTTAATGAAAACCTGTGCACAGGGACAGGATGTTTTTAGACAGATTGCAAAGAGCAAAAGTTCAAGATAATCATTCACCAACTGCTGTGGCTGGCATCTTATTAGAATCTGATCTACATCTCAATTACCTCATATCTATCTTGTAAATGTCCTTAATCCTTATTCATTCATTAATCTTATACGAGTGTGCTTATTGTGATTTCCTGTCAACTCTTAACATTTCTTTGAAATTTTTATTTATTTTTTGAAATATTTACAAAGTGGTACTTTTATTTATATGACATATCTTTAAATTTGTGTTTTTTCAGTTTTGACTTATTTAACTTATAATATCAAATAAAAGTAATGTTGCTATTGTTTATGTTGTCTTTAAGGAACTTTTCACTTTCTGAAATGTAAGCCCTAATATAAAGGAGGTGCATGCAGACGCATACTAGTATGTTTTAACATTTATGACACCAGCTGGCAGTTTAGGATTCTAAATCCAAATTTGGGAACTCATAAAAAAACTTTCAATCATTTCAAGTATACCCATGTGCAGAACATGAATGGGAAAATGTTTGAACTGTCAACATGATGGAACACCTCTTTAGTGTTAAATTCTCCATAATTTGACTAACTGTAAACTTGAGAAGGTTGCAGGGACCATCGTGGTTTGGGGAGCACTTTACTATAAAGTACCTCCGCTAGAGCGGTATATTTATTCCTCCTTTTATATTTGAGACTTGAAATAAGTTAAGTGTCTCTTCCCTTCAATAATACGTTTAGCAGTGGAGGAATTTCAGGCCATGAAGGCACCCCGTTGATCACCTGCGACCTACTAACCTAGTTATGATAACCTTGACCCGTGAGCATCAGCGCGCCATGGGTCGTCTGCCCATAAAAACTTTCATTTCCAGCTGTGCCACGTTGTGCGCTTTTTTCCCCCAAGAATTATTCACTTTTCATGTTTTTGTTTTTGAAACGTGGTAATTTTGGTACCTGGACAATACTAAGTGACGAATTTAAAAACTTTGGTGAACCTGTTTGAAAGACGAAAGAGACACCCATATTTGCTTAAAATAAATCATTCAGTCGCATTGTACGTTTTTCTTTACTTTTGGTTTTTAAGACATACGTGTTTTGAATGCTATTAAATGTCCATTCTAGTATGGAGTATAGGCATGGTGTCTGCTGCAACTACACGTCCTGCTCCAAATTAATAGGTCTACAAAAGTATCAGACGCTGTAAATGAATTGTAGGTTGGCATTATCATTTATGACCTAAGGCCCATACTTATGGTTAGAAATATGTTTGTTATTTTAATAAATTCCGCCACTGATTATTCCAATAGTATTCCCTGCGAAAGCGTATTCTAGTTTGTCTTAAAAAGCACGACAGTCTATATGAATCGCGCCCACAGCAAAATGGCCTGGTATTTAGACGTTCACATACCCCATTTATCAACATACAATGCATTTCTATTTAAAATATAAGGAACAAAATGACGCCCAACCAACGCATATAGTTTCTTTTACACTGAACTGTCTAAATAATTTAAAAACTGAAAACTGCACAACATGCACACATAATGAGGCCTTCGTCTTACAGATTGTTAATTTTATCAAATACGAAATTAACTAATTTGAAGATTTTGTTTTTTATTGGTAAAATGTTAAATTTAATAATGTATAATTGAAGAAATAAGAAAGGTTTGCACACCACTTACTTCCTTTAGTTGCTTCCAGTATGTCCATCTCTCATAACGTTTTGTCCAGACTCTGTCCAGCAGAAAAGAGACCTGAAGAGATTTTGAAGTCTGTTATGAAAACACGGTGAATTTCATTGATAAAATGTGTCACTTCACAGAGGTTTCCATAGTTAAACTTTTTATACATGCACCTTGCGAACAAAATAATTTTTAAAAGACATTAAACAATAGGGCTTATATTACCCCTGTAGAATATGTTGTACACAAAAACGCTTTTGGAAAAGCAACGCTTTAGTTAACTTTCGGTGTCTATTCTTTCACATTTACTTGGACAGTGGCAAATAATCTTTGGTTTGCAACTCCTTCAAACAGATGTGAGATGTTGTTTTCAGAAGAATGGGTTTTAAAAAACAATATAATTACTATTTTTTTTCGATGGGTGGGTTGGGTATATGCTTCAGCAAAATTCACTAGAGGCTAAGAGTCCAAATATCGTTTTCAACAAACATAATAAACATTTGAACATTATTGAAAAGACACTATTTCTTTGTTATGTTAAATATAAAGAAAAATAATTATTGAAAACATTTGCACATAATTGAAAAGACACTATTTCTTTGTTATGTTAAATATCAGCCGAACCATCACTGATAGTCATAAGAATAAAAAAGAGACCTGAAATGTTGTCAAATATGCATATTCACATTTTATAGACGTCAATGACCAGCGTGTGATCTACTTAGATTGCGTTGTCCTATGTGAAAAAAGTGAGATCAACGGGCGTTATTAACTAACAGCTGACAGTAATTATGGCACCTTTTCCCTCCTGTCTGCAGAATCGGTATGCTATAAAAAAAGCTTTTTTATGATAGCTCCTATAAACTTTTACGATTAAAGCCAGATTGCCTGGTGATGTCCGGAAGACACGACCCATGGTTAATCTTCTCATTTCTGCCCTGCTTTTTTTTTCTATATTGCATGCTACATAGAACACCAGTCCTTCAGTTTTATATATCAAATAGTCCTTAAAACGTTTCGGTTGATTCCCTTCAATCTAGTATGTAAAGTATCTACATATCTTTAGACTCCAACTACGACCTTAGATGTAAGTAGGAGAAGGTTGCACATATATATTTTTCACGTGGTAAGGGAGAATGACTACAACTTTCCAAGAATATATAAGTACATATTTCTTGTAGTTCGTTATCAATCAGTAGAAAACATGTCTATTTTGTTTATTGCGCGACTTAAGTGGCGAAAACTAATGTAAGTAGAGTCCATGAACCGGTATGTGTTTTCCGTGGCCACGGAAAATGACAGCTGGGCAATTGAGACATAAACAAAATTTGTAATTTGTTTTCAGTGTCAAAGGCCTACTCTGCCTTAACTTTTTATCTAAACAAAAAGCTTTAAACTAAACCAGTTAAACTCGACTGAAATACAAGAGCGCATCACGCGGCACTACAGCAAAATCGTTTTCAACTTTTGGTAAAAATGATTAATCAATAATTGAGATAAATGATTGAAGGTCTTTCATGTCCACATGATCGTCGGTAGAAAAGTAAATAAAACGTGACCAGATGAAGAGTCTCCACACTCTGTCACATTACATTTAAAGTTCTGAAACAACTATATTTTTCGTTAATAAATATTCTTATCCAATCTAGTCAGATCTTAAATCATTTACCAACAAAAGGTAGTCCTTTCGAAGCAAATTGATACAATTAAGAGGAAGAAAAATCAGCGCTATAAGTAATCAATGGTATATCTCCTGTGACCACATACACAAAATATTGTAGCCTAAATTTAAAGTGTTAAAACGTAGTCATAAATTCAAGGAACAGGAAAGTGCCAACAGCTTTTTGACACGAACTCCAAAGCGTGTCCAGTATAAATGTTTACTACGTACATTAACTTCTCTATTGTGGCCAAAACAGTGAATCACATATAGTCTTTATTTATTAACGTGACATGTGAATATATAAGTACATATATCACCCGCCCTCATGGGCCTACACGTTACCGAAATTTGTACATTTATCAAAAAACATCAGGTTAAATTTATAATTTATAACAAACATAAGTAGACTTATATTTACTATACATAAAAAATCGACTGGTTGTATCTTTCGGGGTATGCATTTAAATAGGAGAGGCCGACAATCAATGTAGGGTAAAAGAAACACAGAGATAGATAGTGGTGTCTCTATAATCTGGGCAATCAGTGACGTAAGCATGGTTGATTTTCATGTTATAGCGGTCCTGAGAATGGTTTCAAACATATCTTTATCGAAAATTGGTCTAAACTTTTAAACAAACAAAAAATTGCTCCACTGCATTTCAAGATATATTTGCAGGGGTCCACTTGAATAAAATATTGGTTTGAAACATAAGTCATATCTTTCTGTTTATTTGTTTGTTTGCTTGTTTTAAAACACAGTTGCAATATTCCATTTATTGCCGATTTATCGTCAATTTAGAGTCAAAGAAAACTACAACTTCGGTCTAAAAGAAGACCTTTCTGTGTAAAGTTTTTATGTGAAACAAATCCCTAACTATTGGCAGCTATTGGCAGATTTGGTAAATTATCAGTTACTTTGACGAACCTTTAATTTGCGTAAATTATCAGTTACTTTGACGAAGCTTTAATTTGCGTCTACTAACCTTGTACATTGTGCATTGCATTCCCATAGCTTTTCAGTAGCCCGTCATGCATCGTACTCTGAGCAGAGGGGGAGATCACTTTGGGGGACCCTAGGGGTGGAGATTTCATACCCACGGGATACGGAGAATACCCTGCAGTGTGGTGGTATCCCGCCATTTTATTGGAGCGTCTATCAGGTGTCCCCATATTATGCAGTGCACTGGAACCGTCCATTGAAGTGCTAAAACTACCGTCGTACTTTGGTAAAGGTGGCGGTGAGTCGTATTTTGTAGCAAGAGAGTCATATTTTGGAACATCGTACATGCCCTGCTGTTGTTGATGTTGGTTTTGTTGATGCTGTTGCTGTTGTTGTTGTGTATTGTAGACCTGTGCAGGGGGAGGGTTCTGTTGCTGGGAGTGAGAGGCGGCAAGCGTCTGGTGGTAGCCGGAGGAGCTGCTAGTGGACACCGAGGTTGAATTATAATAACCGTTGTTTGCATAGCCCCAGTCAGGATTAGCCAAAGGGTCGGGGAAACTCTGTCCCGGTTTGGAAATTACTCTAAAAGACGGTTGCACGCTGTGCTGTTGTTGCTGCTGCTGTAAACCATTGGCAGTGGTGTCCGCTGGTTTCGTGTGTAACGGCGGCGGAGAGAAGCTGTTCGTCGCGGTACTCACTATGGACCAAATTTTCTTATCCTGTGAGGGATCCAAACCGAATTTCCCTCCCGTCACATCGTCGTTAGTTGGATCGTCGAAGGCAGTTGGCTTCTGATCCAGCGCCACTGGAGTCGCCGCGGGGAACGAGGAGGTGAGGGCGGCCGCCGCCTGCGGTAGCGTCGTCGGAGAGGTTTGATGAGAGGAGAGAGGCGCGTCCAGAGTGTGAAGAAGACTGGTATTACTTGAATTACTGCAGGGGGACTCGGCGTCTCCGTTGCTTTCGTGGTCCAGATTCTGCGTTGATGAACCTGGTATAAGATGGCAACAGATAATCGTGTTATAAATTATACCTGAACTAATAAAAAACAAATAATCCTTTATTAATGTGTCCAAAATAGAGAACGCAAATATTCTTTGTTTTTGCCTTAAACAAAAAAATTGAAAAAAAAAGACATAATGTACCTTGAAAATGTTAAAAATGTGTATAACATTAAATTTTAAAGTTGGGATTTAAATGCAATATTTAATATACCTAATGAAATTGGTGCACATTAAAGAAGATGACACTGGGAAATTGAGATAAAAGGACCAACTTCTTTTGAAATAACTTTGTAGCAAAAAAACTTAAGATGGTTTTAATATTGGCTTTATTGTTAAGTTTTGCTTAAATTAGTAAAAGTCTCTAAATCTGGGAAGGTCTTATCTAACATGGTAATTGCACTCCGAAGAAGATGAAGATTTGTTACATCCCAGTGTGTTACATCCTAGTCTGTCACACATGCGTGTGAGCAAAGAGGACATGGCCAGAGGTATTTTTTTCGTTTGCTTGTTTCAGAATTCTACTGCATAAATATATTACGCAAACAGATCAGCATTTAACAATAATACAAAATTATTCATCAAACAAGATTTTTAGTATTTTATGTGGAACTAGATAAATTTCTGGGAGCTGTTTTGTCGTCCATTTACATTCAAGGAACCATATGCAGGCATATCTTCTAATTCTCTATCCAAAGTCTGATTGAATCAGTTTATCAAACGTGCTCGTTCTTCTGACTCATATATAATGCCAACTCACGGAAAAACTTTAAAAAGAATATGAAAATCAGCCATCGATCAGTTAGTGACATGATTGCTTTAAGCTGTATGGTGTATCCCGCAGGCCGTGTGTTCTGTCCCCTGGGACCGACACCCGGGGAGTGGACACGTGGGGCAATGGTTGAACTTGTTATGACAATCGAATTTAAAGTAACCCATAAGGATGCACAGCTCATTATTCCCCTACCAAGTAACTGAGTTGAAGCAGCGAACAGAAGATTACCTTTAATGGTATATCTGGTGACAAAGAAAGAAAAAAATTTAAAATTCAGTTTATAGTGCTCATGGAATGACAAATACAACGTGTTGCTTTTACTGATGTAATATTGGGTTATAAACAATGACGTTTTTCTTTGACAGATTTTGATAGTGATATACAAACGTAGAAAATTTGATTGTTTTGACTGGTGTTGTTCATGTCGCTTTATGGCCAAAATTTTTGGCAAACCATTTAGAGAAACCAATTTGAATCAGAGGACACAGTCTTCAGTTACTGTCTTGCAAAGTTTAGGTAAAATGCCTCGAGCTCTCTTTCGACGTTGAATTGCCAATTGGGAGCAAAGTTCACGAAAGACAGCATTTCTCTGAAAAAATCTTTAATTACTACTTTAGTGAAAGCCAGATTTGACTTGTTCTAAGTCGAGATATATAATTGGCAAGGCTGGCCGGTTATACCAACAGACGGGTCACGTAGTGTACTCTCTTAACAAACATGTCTGACATTCTCGCCGACTGAGAAAACACGCACTGGTCAAAATATAAGGCTTAACCAAATAGCCCACGGCAAAACGAAAGGCTATACTGGAAAACAGAAACTGGTAATGCCGTGACTGGGTAACAGATCGGCCAGAAACCTGGAGTGATGTTAGACGCCTTTAAACCCGATGGGAACCAAACAGACTGACCACAATCAACTTGGCAACCTTTAATAAGTGAGATCAGTGCCCTTGTTACGTTTTTATAACTAGATAAAGCAAGACACTTTCTTTTCTTTAAGTATAATGATTTCTAATTTTACTTTAGAGTGACTCGGCTAAAACTTATTGCCATCTCAGAAAACAAAAAATAACGATCAGAAAGTAATTACCAATAATAACAACTTCAACCCGACGAACTTTTAAACCAGGATGGAACTGTAATCGCCTTTTTCTTTAACCACACGTTTGCATGCTCAGGCTTACATAGATTGTTAACCTAGTACGCGAATTATTGCTTTGGAATGTAATGAGTTCCAAAAAAGACAACGAGACTACTTACGGGCAAGTGCTTTACAGGACTCACATGTTTGTGTTTTTAAACCTATGATGAACATATGTTTTGCGGGAATTATACAAATATAAACCTCATGCTTGTAGATTTCCTCTTGTTTCCTTCTCAAAAGGTTGCTCCAGATCAATGGTCAGTAAAACCAACTGCCGTTGTTTAACCCAACGCCCCTTCGGTGAACTGTCATTAACCAACCTAAATTTGGCCGTCAATAAACATTTCGAAAAATAAACGGAAAAAAACCCGCAATTTTTAGGACCAAAAACTATTGTTGTCCTTCAACGTAAAATGTACAAAACCAATGACTTATATCACAACTTAATAATGCCAATAAAGAATCTGTCAATAAAAAAAAAAACGAAAAAAACTGAAACGTTGAAGTGTTCTATTTGCAAAGAATTTCCCAAATGTTCCTGATGAAAATTATCACCAACCGATGTTTCGGATTTTCTCTCATTAATTACGCCCCTCGTTCACAGCTGACCCCGAGGCGCGTACTGTTTACTGTGACTTCGCCGAAGAGCCTACGGCTACGAATGCCCGAGGTCAGAGACCATTTTAATCAAGTCCACTTATGAGACGCTGACCCTCACATGTGAGAATTCTTATTTTTCGGTAACTCTTTCAGAAAATACCACACTTCCAACAGCGGTGGAATCTGCTGCCAATCAGAGTGACGAGAAACACCAACAACATACGAGGTTCAATAACAACACATTTGTAATTGTTGCTGCCTCCGATACTCTAGAATGCACACCTTAGATAACTCGTGTACTGAAAAACCCTGGTACAACAAGCCCTAATTTGGTAATACCGATGTTCTAACAAGTATTATACAAATCATTTGCGCAATGAACAAGAAGAATACTCTTTATTGCGGTATGGGGCATAAGAATTGTGTATCATCTTTGCGTTATCTTTCCCATGTAAGTGAGAGTGTAACACCGTGGTATGTTGTGGTAAGTTGTGTATACCGTTTACTGACTATAGCCAAAACCTTATTATGATGAAGCTGATTATAACCCCCATACAATGTAAAATAAAAATTGAACATGAGCTGTAACGTAAGAATACACCTGGCGTATCTTCAATGTATACCTAAAACAAGAGGGTATGAGCATCTCAGTTTTATTATCTCAATGCAATATATCCATTGTTAGAATGAATGGTAGTCCTTGCTCTAAATCAAACATTTATAAAGTATGCAAGGCCTTTTCCCAACTTGAGGAGCAAGATTCTACACTTATGTTGTTTCCACCCAGTAACTTAATAGGCTATATTTACCGCTACGTGGAATGTTGCTAGGGCGTTTGTGTCTTCACGAAGCAGTTAAAATGGATCATCTTTCAATTCTATATCCTTTTTGTTGAGGTAAACCATAAAATTAGTTGTTTGGTCGCACAGTATAGAATTCTTGCCATAGTCTATGCCTTTAAATGTACCGTTTATTTGATACACACTGCATATCAACTGGTTCTATTTTAAAATTAAAATTTTCTTTTTATGCTAATTTGAATTTTCCGTTTTAAGGAAGATCCTTTCTTTCCCTTCATCATATCGGGTATAATTCCAAACAAGTTTGTAGTGTGCGTATTTAGTGCCAGAGAGTAAACAATTTTTACAAATCAAGATAAAATCGTCATTAAATTGCAAATGCACGTTTCAATTGTGAAGCATTATTAGAACTAACACTGACTAGTGACAGAGGAACTATATGACTTAATTCATTCAAAACTTATTGTATGAGTTTTTAATTCATTTTTCTTTTTGTTACAGAGAAATATCTCCATGCCTTAAAACCAACGTGTGCTGTTCCTGCTATGGGACATTAACAATTTTGGGTTGCCTATTTTTTTTCAAGAAGTTGGAATGTAAATTGAGGGAAACGAAAAAACTCAGTATAGAGCTCTATTATAACCAATAACAATAGCTGAAGTTATTTTGTTTTAAAATAATGTCGAACATGTTTATATTCATGTAGATATGAAAAGATTTAATGGCCCTCGTATTAACTTAAGTCTCAGTTGACTTGAAGACACCCACTCATTAATCTAAAATCTAATTCGTTTTCTTGTGCACGACAGTCTTCAAACATGCTGGTATCTTGGATAATCGTTTTGCCTGCTTACAGCAGGTGAATAGTCATCATTTAAAACCCACAACCATTATTTCGCGCATATAATTAAAACGTTTGGATAATGCTATTTTTTAAATTATTTCAATTCGTATAAATCATGCAATAAAAATCTGTAATCATCTGTAAGATTTCTTCGTTAAAAATTAAGTTGTATTTATGTGACGGTACAAATATATTTAACATTGCTTGTTTGTATCCAATCTGACTGATAAAGACGTGAAGTTTACTTACATGGCGTCCTCGCATCGGAATCTTTGGAGTTTTCTGTCTCTCCTTCCTTCTTTGTGCTCTCGTTGTCATTACTGTCTTCGTCATTGCCAAACCATCCTTTCTCCTTTTTTAACCTCCTCCTTGCGTTCGCAAACCAAGTAGACACTTGGGTCAAAGACATTTTTGTTATAATTGCCAACATGATCTTTTCTCCTTTTGTTGGATACGGATTCTTCTTGTGCTCGTTGAGCCAGGCTTTTAGAGTGTTCGTTGTTTCCCGGGATGCGTTCTTTCTTCGAACCCCATTAAATTCTGATGCATAGCTAAAAATAATGAAAATAAATTATGTTAATCGTCAGCGTTAATTCTACATTTTCATAACTTTAAAACCTAACATTAGTTGGTCAGTCAATTTACTGTGTCATCCCACATATTAAACCAACTCATGCAAAATATCGGAGTTGCCAAATTTTAGGGTATTTTAACCTTTTTTTAAAACTTCTTTTTATTACAACCAACCGATTGTCATTTAAAACATTGTTAGAAAAATCTATCAAATTATAAATAGAATAAATATTGACTCACAATAAATACATTTATCTATATGTGCCCATTAAAAATATCATTAGAATAACATTAATGTTTACACATCATATATACAATATTTATCAATTGATATTTAAAAAAAATCCTTATTTTGGTTAGCAGAGATGTTAAAACTTTGACATCAAAGATTGTACGAAGTGGTTTTAAATCAAGAATTTATTTGAATTTCATCTCAAAAATAATTTACAAATATTATTAACATAAAGTTGTTTGATAATTTAAATTTAAATAAAAACATTTCTCTAACATACAACACCAAATCGCAATGTCTAAAAAGTGCTTCTTAATAATTTGCATTTTCTAACTTTGCATTTAAAATTATTGTTTTACACAGCTTTTAATCAGAATTTCGTTCTTTTACCATTTAATATACCTGGCCTTGGTTCATAAATTTGGTTAATGGGTTTGCCATTTGTTGTTAAATACAGGAGCAAAACTTACACCTAAAATTGGGATCTTCATGTTTTTTTATATATGTGTAGGAGGGACAACCCTCTATAAAAAATTCTTATTCCTTTTTTTCTAAATGTCGAACGATTATTACAAATAAGCTTCATACGGGTTATTGCATGAATTCCACTATTTTTGACTATGTTTGATATTGTGCAAAAAGAGTGGAACAACGGCCACTGCTTTGATAAAAAAATTAAACTGAAGGAGTACTTAGTCAGTTTAAGTTTTTTGTGATTCATTTTATACTTTAAAGTGAAACTGGTAATAAATAAATTCTTTTTGGAATTGTCCTTAAGACTTTTTATTAAATCTCATTTTCAATTTAGATGTTCTGCATCCCGTTTACCAAGTCCCAATACGATGTTACTGAATAAATCGACGGATTTCATTGGTTAATGCTTAAACCACTAATTCCATTTTCTTTCTAATAAAATCGATACATCTTATATGGAGGTGCCATCTCATGTGTCAGGACACTGAAAACCTGGTACAAAGATTACTGGGCAGACATCTGTAAATGTGTTACGTTGCTTTAATTGCCACCTAAGACATCTGGCCACTGCTTTGTGCGTCACATGGGTCCACCACCTATTTAGAACACAGGCTGGGACACGGCCCCATTGAAAAAAATTCCAATATTTTTTTTTTACCATGTTCACGACTTTTCCTTTTTTTTTTCATTGTGAACGACTTCCTCGTTTTTTTAAGTATGAGACTTGTCACGTATTATATACGCAGGATAATGTGTTTCAATTGTTTTCGAAGCCTGGTAAGAGTCTTGTTTTATGTTTGTTTGCAATTCTTGGTCAACATAAGAGTTGTTTTTGTCTAACAACGTACATATTATATTGACGCCATCATTTGTGTCTATTTTTCAATTATTCAATTATTCAAATATGTCAAGGCTGTGAAATGTTTCCGAATAAGTGGCTACTTTAACAAATGAGACGAGGAATTTTGTCCCAATATGTTAGATAAATTAGCAAAAATATCTCCGATCTATCTTCATTGTGTCGTTTAATATAGACACAATTGTATTGAATTAGAGTAGATAAACAACTCATCAATTTTCTCTTTATGACACTGTGTTTCCAAAAATAGTTCTGTGTAGAAACTTTGAACCCGTAATGTAATTCCTATAATAACATAAACAAGTGAATGCAAAAAAGGTAATGACGTATATATATATATATATATATATATATATATATATATATATATATATATATATATATATATATATATATATATAATTTGCCACGCTCTATTCATCAAAAATATGCGAAGTGTATTCGCAAAATTTAGAGATAACTAAATCTCAAAAGTGAAATAAAAACTATGATATCTCTTAATTTAGATCGTTTTGTATCTAAAGGGTCGACAATGGAATGTTGGTGACATGGTCATTGAAAAACTGACAATGAAACAAAATAAATTTAATCTAAATAATGATTTAAATAATACTAGCGTTATGTTTTGTAAACAACGATATTGGTTGACAAGCAGGAAGGATACTATACTCTCAGCTCATGAATAAATCAGCTCACTCTAGGCAATAGGAAGGGCTGGAGTCTAGCAATGAAGTTTGTTCAATCTATAAGAAGTTTCTCATTTAAAACTTAACAAAATAAATAAATGAATAGATTAATTAATTAATTTATAAAATTGGGAAAATGTAACTTCCAAAATTGATATCACGTGATAAGTATGGTTTGTGCACACCCCTTCCGCATTTGAGCAACTTCATAACTATATCCTCATTGTCAATCTTATTTTGCTATAGAATTCCAGTGGACGGACATGTCCCATGGCATTTCCCTATCAATATAAAGGGATGTGACAACCAATGATAGTGTTATGCTTTCATGCGGTATTTGTTTCTGTTTTTTTAAGGTTTCTCATGGCGAGTTGTGCAAGAAGTCTATGCACTGGACTGAAATGACATAGTTTACCAAAGATTCAAACGTGTAATAAATATCCTTCAGATTCCGGACTGCAGAGATAATATTACAAAGAGTAAACACATCTATAATTTATTCTATTGTAACTTTTAAGAAAAATTGAATCTTACTCTCCAAGTTTTCCATACTGTCACTTTTATCTCTGTATACTACTATCCACGTCTTCTTTTCTTCTTAAATCATTTGTCAGTAAATGAAAGACATAACCATAAGTAAGTGGGCATGCTTTGACGTTAACGGACCTCAAGTTATCTATATTGACTTGTAACCAATGTATGATTATGTTATAAGTTCGAGATATTTCCTTGATCGGTATTTATTTCCTTTCTGTGGCAGCAATTTGGAATAACTGAATAACAATGGTATGTATATAATACGTCAGCCTCGATCCCCTCACTCGTCCTAACACCTACCAGATTTCGTTTGGAAAATGTGATTTACTTTCTGTTACATTCAGGAAGAATTGGAGGTGCATTTGTATAATGTATCTAAATGACATTAAGAAACAGAAGATAATTCCTTTATGGTCCTTTGCTTTTTTGTTTATGTTGTAGAAGCCGCCGCTACACAAATGGTTTTCGTGGTGTACTTTATCTTCTTCCAGGGGGATCAATCTTCCCATTGTTGACCAGTGACTGTTTTTCTCATGTTCATATAATTTTTTGTACCTTCCCTTTCGGACATTCTTTCTTTGCCAAATATTGCCTCATATATTTTCCCGATGTGTATCGAAATGTAAAGACCCCCCCCCCCAGCTGTTCGTAAAATCCCTCTTTTGCGTGCAAGATGCACCCCGGCTGAGATGCAGCGTCTTTAACTCGTGAGCTCGCTCTTATCTGATGGTGAATCACGCTGTTAAATGATAAACTTGGCCGCTTTCTATGCCAGTTCTCTCCGAAAGTGAACAACCAAGAGTTGATTACCTGACGATGAGAAGGAGGTGTGATTGGGATAATCTTGTTTGCTCGGGTTTTTTTCTTGAAAAGTCTTGGGCCAATTGAGGCAATGAATGAAAGGATAAAGGTCTGCGACCTACTGTTGCTTCGCACGTTCCCTTAACAGCTCAACTGATTATGTGGGTTAACTTTAAGGAATCGGTCAAAAGTAGCGAAATGTAGCGTTGCAAACCCGTGCCAAGGCGCACTCAAATGTCTTTGACAAGTGTATTTGCTTTCCTAAACCACGTGAGTCGTGTTTCTGGTCGTGTATTAAACACCCACTACATCTGTAAATACGTATACACGCGTGTTTGGGCCGACCAAAATGGCGCCTGTGTGGTATCATTATCTAACCATAAAGCCCAGGAACAGTTAGAGTATCAACAGTATAAGTATATCCAAATACGCTTTGTCCTTGCAAATGAAGACGTTTGAACAATAGGTTGATTTATTAGCATGTCGTGGAACGCCATACGATAGCTCGTTTTCAGTTTCCGATAATTTGGTCGCATGCTTAAAGCTCTTATGTTTCAACAAAGCACCCAGATTTCCCATTGCTTATACATTCTAATTGTTCTGATTTCCAGCTGTTGGATTTTATTTTATTGAAAAACTGACAAAACCAAATACAATCCGAAATACTAGTTACATAAATTTCAATGTCGAAATTACCCAGCGACTTTTTCTTGTTTCTGTCATTATCTATAAGGAAGCATATTTCAAAATTCTTAAACTACTTAAACTCTTCTGCATTGTATTAATGTCCGATTTAAAATTTCAAAATTCACTTTAACAAAAGTACTTTGTTCTGCTTGGGGACCAGAATTTTAATTGGAAAATGTGACTTAATTGGAATTCTTAAACCCTATTACAAATACTTAGAAAATTAACTACATTAACGTTATCTAAATGTTTATGTAAATTTGTCAAATGCATTTAAGAGTAATATAACCTTCAAACCACCATATTGCGATATCTTCTTTTTAAGATCAAATATTCATTCGAAGTAAATGAAACCAAGTTTTTTTCCTTCAAGCCAATATACATCAAATGCTAATCATGAACGGGTCATTCCACATGAACATTTGAGTCACGTCAATATTTGCATAATTTTGATTTGCCTCATTGTTTTGGCTGTTTAATACTATGGTCCCCTTCAATATAGAAAATAATCAGCAGCAATCAGAAAGTGACGAAAAACAGTCATGCAAATATTACACAAAATATGTACGTCACTGCCATGAAATAAATGTTGACTTTATTAAGTATTAGCCAAACATAAGGCTGCCGCATTAACGAATCAAAGATAGAATCACAATAGTTTAATTAAAACGGATTACATTTTGTGTGAATCTTATTCCATTTTACAGAAATAAATACCGTTTCAGAAATATGTCTAAGGATTCCTACCCCAGCCAACCTTTGCCAATTCAAATTCAGACCCTTATCCTTAAATTCAAATAAAATTAGCAGTTACCGAAATGTAATTTACAATTCAATTTGTTTACTCATTATCTCTAATCAACAGTGCCGACGAATGCTAAGTACTGTATTGGTTTGATCACAGTCTGTACGTCCACTCGAACCCTCATTTCAACTGAATAATATGACCGAAAACACAGAAAACATCTGAAAATGCCAAATCAAATTTTGATGAATTTCTAAGCAAACGCGGTTGTTTCTTCAAATATATACATGACTCTAAAACGGTCCACTTAATCCTTTTTATTGGTCTTTTTGCTTCAGCTTGTTTTAAATATTTCCTTGCTTTTAAATTTTTTGACTAAGCTTACAGTAGAACATAAAATGACCTTTCAATATCTGAACTGTTTTTTTTATTTTACTTACTTTAATCAGCATAAAATGCTTAAACCTGCATATTAAAAGTTATTACTGAATTAAAAAACAAAACAAATAAGTTAGACATATTAGACTATTTAATTTGACATAATCCAGTTAATTAGTTAAAGTATCATTAAAATATAAATGAAATTGATAGATTCTATATAAAAAATGAAACTTTGAAATATGTAAAGAATTCATACTTTTGGCTGGAAGTATATTTTCTAATAAAAACGCGCAATTCGTTGACAGCAAATTCAGTGAGGGGAGTGAGTTAACAATGCCGCCATTAACAAGATTTTCATTAATTAAAAAGACAAGTTTATGCTAGAAGTCAAGTAAATGCCACATTACGGTCAATGTATTTTATTTTTTGTAATTTAAATGTTTATCTTGTGGTTGAAATTGAAAGAAGCAGCTGCATGCATGGAACTGGTACAATATTTCCTCAAAATATTGGGCCATTCAAAATTAAGGCTACAATGAAACCAGTGTTGTTTGATGTTCAGTTGAAAAAAATTGATTGAACCATATATAAAAAATAAAGCTTTGAATTTCTTTTCAAATCCCTGAAGAAGGCCTCGGGACCGTAAAATGTATAATAATTATTTCCATATTTCACATAAATTTTGGGAAAATGGACGGTGCACAAAAGCAGAACAAGATTTGTGTAAGCTATATTTGTCTTCAGACAACTTGCTGCACTTCTACTACAAGAATTAAAATTTGTCGAAAGTAAATTAACTGCAGTAGTACACGTTTCAGGTATATTCTTAAAAGCGGTAGCGTTAGCGTATTTCGTCTGTTTTTTTTTCATATATATATATATATATATATATATATATATATATATATATATATATATATATATATATATATATATAAACCTTAAAATGTGTCAAATTAATTTAATTAAATTTGAATCATCGTATACCGACTGCTTCTTCCACTTTTCTTTTGATCTTAATATATCATTTTTTTATTCTTAATATTCGCCCTTAATTTCCGATTTAATATTTTACACAAAGGCGTAAAACGTCTTACATTTTTCTGAACTCTGCCATTAATTTCCCTTTTTTTAACCAGAAAATGGAAGTATTAAAATTGGTGCAGAAAACGTCAACCTACCCTGAGTATGGGTAGCCAGCCCACGTGTAGTCGTACTGGTAGGCGGTAGGGGGAATACCGTGCCATAGCTCTGAGCTGTCTTTCACATCATAGGCAGTATTCTGAAAAAGACGGAATAAAATCTTACAAATAGGTACACACACACACACACACACACACACACAAATTTATCTGTAAAATCATAGGCAGTATTCTAAAAGTATTTACAAAGAGAGAGAGAGAGAGGTATCTTTGTTATCTTTGCAAAGTCAGTAGAACACTATATAATTATCTAAAATGACCTTTTTATATAAACTAACAATGCATAGTGGGGCCTACACATTGCTTCTTTACTTGTCTTACTACCCCCCCCCTCCCTCNTTTTCCTTTCAAAGCATACTTGACTCGTGGTCAAATTAAATGTAGCCAAAGATATAACGGTAAAGAAAATACAGACGTCATAATCATTTGTATAATCAAACAGCTAAAAAGTTCAGAACAGAATGTGCATGGTCATAGTAAAAAAAGGACTTTCTATTGTGACCTAATGTGTAAAATCACTACGACAAAGTAAGCGTAGATTTGAACGGCGCCAGTTTTGAAAATTAACCACAGTATTAGGCCACGCTGTAAATACGTTGACTAATCCTAAATTAAAAAAAAATTTAAAGAAGTGCGCTCCAAACGCTGTGACCATTTCGTACAATTCAGCCCATTGACATAGATATGTAGAGTGACAATGTATTCCTGTGACAAAGTAAAATGGAAAAACGGGGATGTTGGGAGGAGGAGTTTTTTTTATAAATTCTGACGACAATAGTTGTTGTTATAATTTAATTAAAGGGCATTGAACTACACATTTGTTGTTAGTTAGTTCCGACAAGGTTTACTACCCGCAGGTACCAGTACTTACAAAATAACCAGACTTCTGGGCAACCCCTAAACTTTTTAAACAAGAAAACTTTTTTTACATCATCCCTCTTAAATATTTATTGGGAGGTATATGCAAATAAGTTTGAAAATCTGCATTTTGCCATACTTATAATATATTCTCTCAATGAAAATAAGCTACAAGTTCACTTTAGGCTCTGCAATATCATAACAATGCCTCTTTGTTTTGTGTTATAAATTGAATAAATAATGTAGCAAACCATATCATGTATATTTTAGCATCAAGTATGCCCGCATATTAAAACGACTAACGAAACCAAGCATAATATTTCTTTAAATGCCACTTTTTACAGCGGTCCATGGAAAATAGCCCACTTTTTCCTTTTTTTAATGTCTTGATAAGAGATTATTCATACTAACAACCAGACTTATATAACATTAAATAAGTTGTCCTTTTTTTATTTATTTCATAATAATAATAATTATTATTATTGTTATTATTATTATTATTATTATTATTATTATTATTATTATTACTTTTGTAAGTGTGTTAAGAAGGCTTTTGGGATATAATATAATTATTGTACTCTTGGGATAATTTTCTAGTTTTTCTGTTCTAATTCACCACAGAACGAAACCCAATAATGCCTTCATAACTGGCGGTTGATCGGTTGGCTTCAGATTTGCATGTCTGACGAGAAACCCTGCGTTCGCGGACAATAATTAGTTCATTTGCAAAAGGTGATTTTTTAATTTATAGGCTCACTGTTATCTAACCCAGCCAACTCCCAGGTCAAAGGTATCTTTTCAATTAGCAACTGTTCTATTATTCATCCAGCTGCGGCATCAATTCTTAAATAACAACAACTGGTCAATGAAGCTGTGATCTGGGGCTCGTTGTAAGTTTTACTATCTAACCGCCCACTAAAACCATACAGACCTTGCTGCCTCTTGCTCCGGAGACTAAGTCTATATACATGCCTTGTGTATAAATCTGATGTATTTTTATTTCACCAATTTCTAAGAAAAGCTACGTAAAATGAAGTTTTATCAGCCAAAACTCAAACAAATGACATAAAGAGATCCATTTATTTTATCAATTACTGTCCAGTGATATTTATTTATTAATTTATTTTTTACCATTCATTCCGTTATTTATTATTATTCTTATTTTTTTGTAAATATTGAAATTGCAATTCTATAATATAAGCAAAAACAACAAAAAAACTAAGACTAAAACTGCGGGTAATTAATTCAGCACAAAAAGTACTTTTAACCTAAAGTAATGGGGATCGAGTTCTACGCTATGATACTGTATTCTGGGGGTAGAAGATAACTTGTCTTCTCCCCTGGGTCGTGACTCAAAATATTCCTCAGTTAATTCAGTGGCCGGTGTTGTGTAGTCCGTCACGCTCAGGCGTCAAGGCACGTTGCTTTTGATGAAAGTGAAATTGTCTAGCTTGTCTCGGGAGGAGAAATTTTGTAGTGAATAAATGATAAGTCCTCGGGAGAAGACGCTACGAGCAACACAGAGCGCCAGATTGGTTGTGATCCATTATTACTATAAGATCAATTTAATTAAAGAAAAAGAGCGGCGCGCGCGAGATAATGAAAATGCAATACCCACTTTACGCTACGCTCGTCTAATTAGTCGATATTTCTAGGCTTGTAGTAAGTGAAAAGCTACTCTTCGGTCAATTTACTATACTCCACGCACGGTTTTATTTCAATACAATTTTCCAGAGAATAATCGAGGGGTATGGATTCCTGGCAAAATGCCTATTTTCGAGAATTTTTAAGCTGCGTTAAACTGCAGTATAAAATTTAATACAACTCTAACAGGAAAAATATAATTCTAACACAGTTTATTATATAACATACTATATATATATAACAATTGAAACACTTCTCAAAGAAAAAAAAACAATTGAGGGTTGCACTTTCACGTAAATTAAACTTAACAATTTACCATGAAGGAAAAAATCAACTGATTTCTAGTACAGCATTTACAATGTTGGCAAGCAACTTACCAAAGAAGAATACAAAGGTGTGTGGTCGGATGTGATATGCGGCAGGTACCCCTGCGTCCCGTGATACGATGAACTGTATATGTTCTCGGAGAGTGCCGACGGCATCCTTGCATAGCTGAGGCTGAGGGTGGGGCTGTACTGGCACGAGCAAACCGACTGCCCGGTGTGAGGGTCGGTGACCAGTGATCGGCCCGTGTCACAGCAGTGAGGCGTGTTCCCCGGAACCGCTGCCATAGGCGTTGGCATAACCAGCTACAACAGAAGCGAGAGATACGTACAGTAAATAAACGCCAACAGTTAAAAAATTACCAACGGACAACCAAGATCCACAACCACACTTTCCCGACCAGCTCTCGAACATAAGTAAAGATATACTGTTACCAGCCGTCCTATAACATGACGACAAATGCCCTATATTTCATAATCACTAAAAAAAGAAGAATACCCTGGAATTGTGGAGCCAGTAACCCGTCCGCTGGGAGATAGAACCGAGCTGGTGCCCCGTACAGAAGAAAAACAAGGAGTTGGAACTACTGCTCACTCTTGCTCAGCTCCGAACGGAGGCTGTCAACGATAAATCACGACAAACATTGGAGCTGGTGAGTGAGGCATCAGAAGGGAGGTGCCATGACCTCAAAATAATGACCCGGATACCAACGGTAAAAAACGGACGGCGAATATTTGTTTTATATATCTTTGTTTGAGTTGTATTTTTTATGCTGTTTATTTTAATAAGTATATTTTAATGACAGATTTTTAAATGTGTGACACACAGACCGCGAAAAGCTTCTTATTTGATAAAACAAACCAATCCGTTTAACTTCCATTCAACATACTTGTACACTGACCAATACACATTATTTGTTACGCAAAATTTAAAACCCCAAACACTCTAATAACATTTTAATTCGTTTAACAAGGGCAAAAGAATTATTCTAATTAGACGAATCTGATTAAAAGCAGACAATAAAGCAAAAGAAATCAATATTGAAACTATTTCCTTTCTTCTTAAACTTCGCCAGACAACAATGAAACTGACCATAGTGCAATGATCACCAGTACAGCCACCAACATCACGGCATATCGAGTAGGCTGGAGATACTGGAAGACCACTTTTCACTCCAGTGTTTCGTTTCATTTTAATTCGTACTAGCGGGGCGGGCGTCTGGGTGTTAACGATCTATTGTTATACACGGTGTTAACTCAAAACGCTGCATCCGTCCCATCGGCCAATCTGACTGTATATCTACCGCCTATAATTGCGCTTGATTAATTCTAACAGATGAACGCCAGGGTGGTCGGCTATTGTATCTTGGACACATTTATATATCTCAATATATCTGGACTGGTAAACAAACTGTTCCAGCGGTATAATCGCTTGGAAATGATATACAATGTTTGCATTGAAAGCTGCAAAACCTACGATGTATAGATTCACTTGCTGAAATGGCGTGTAATGGTTTGATCCTTAGTTAAAATAGTGAAAGAGGATAAAAGAAGGTATTTATCAGAAGACTGTTTGATTTATAAAAACAAAACCTATGCTAACTTGGCTGAGCTAAAAGTAAAAGAGAGCAAAAAATTTGCCGAGTTGCACAAAATGCAGATTTTACAAATACGTTATCCAAGTGTAGGAACTCACGTTGTCAATACTGAAAACTATCTAGTCATATTTTGTGTAAATAAATGTTTTCTTATTAATTTTAAATTCTAATTCAACGCCGTACCTACCAATTTCACAAAATGCTATAGATCTGAAAATTAACATATGGAATCACGTGAAAATATGATCGGCAACATTAAAAAAATATTTACGTTCTTGGACTCTCACCCTTGCCTTTAAAAGAATTATATGCGTTTTAACAATGAATAAAAGACTTTCCTAGACAAATACTCATTGTTATTTAATTCTAACTTACTCCAAAACTGTCGAAAATTAGCACAATAGCAGCAAAGAAATGTATTCGTGTCACATACAATGCGTGTCATATTTCAAATAATAAAGAGCCTTAGAGTTCCAAAATGGAACACACCTGGGAATGATATGTTGATTTTAGGTTTCTATTCGTCTCTATGCAATACGTCATTCAGAGAAAAAGAACGTAATGAAAAAAGTGTTAAATTTCACCCAGCCGGAAACAACAATGGAAGAATATTAAAATGAAGCATTGGCAAGGATATGGCAATCAAAACTGTCACAATCCCTCTCAGTATAAAAGACAGGCTGGTCATGGATCGCAAAGTCCCTTCAAAGTTGCCTGGTGGTTAGAAAAAGATTTAAACTATTTTGTATAGTATAGGACATTTTGACGCGTTCTAGCATGTTGTTGATTTTTAATTCCTTGCATTTTTACTTTGTAAAAAGTCTTGCAGTGACTGCTTGCATGATAGAAAAAACCTGAACTGGTGCATTTCAAAATTCGCAACCCCTGCGCAATCCTTTGGATAGCCACAGTTATGTTAAGTTTTTAAAGCAACTGTGTATTTTCTTAAATATTCAAAACAATATAAATATCCTCCCAGATATCACTTTCGATGCACCTTATTTCTCGGAATTTTCAAAAGTTTACCATAGGTGTTTCAAAAATTCTTACAAAACATCAACTGAGGCACATGCATACTAGATCCACAAAAAACTAAATAGTTATTTGACTTTTGACAGATTTTTTCTACATTGTCGTTCACGACATTCTAACCAATCTAATAGCTAAAAGAAATTTGTAGAATTCAGGCCAAACTATAGAAATATTTCATTATGCTAAACTGGGGACTAAACTACAATTTTATTGACACTGAAATATTAATTGACAGAAGTTTACTACTATTTTAGCCATGCTATCATTTTGAAACGTCCCCATCACAAACTGGACATTATGTTAACTTAAAATTGATATTTCATATGTACTATATTCGGTTTTCATAAACAGGCGATATCTTAAATGGAGCTACATCAAGCATTTCACCCAACCCTTAAATTGCCTTCAAATTGATCAAACTTGCAAAATAACGTACATTTCTGTAGTTTGGGGAAATTTTTGCTTCTGTTTGGCATTTAAAAGTTTCACATGCTAAATGATTAATTTATTCGAATTACACATAAACGTTGATAACAAAAAAGAAATTATATTTGTACTTGGTATACGAATGCCATCCCTCTCGCCATTTTTAACACATATCAGTCTCTTACCGCTGTCGGCAAGGACACGCTTGCCTGCTATGACGTCATCGTCTCAGACAGATGTCAACTGTATTCTTTACAGTCTCTCAATTCGTTCATCTTTTTTTAACAAGAGGCCTAAATATGCTTCGTCATGTCAGTCTCTGATAATATGTCTGCATTTTCAGACGATTAAGTGATTACCGAGGAATTTCAGTCTAAATTTAGGTTCTTGTTGAGGGTCCCAACAAAAATTTATAATGTTTACATGTAATTTTGTCTGTCATATTGTTTTCTAAACCCAGTTTATTCTCAACTGTCTTGATTTGTCCATGGGCATGAAAATGGTAGCATTTTCCTCTTTTTTCAAAAACAAAAAAGGCACAAATTTAAGTATGCATTCTGTATATCTATATTTGATTTTGTCTATGAAATTTTGGGCAATCATATTATGTCACAGGTGAAGGTCCGATTATGCCAATTTGAAACCATTTTCACAACTAAATGGACGGGAAAAATTAGAAGGTTGTCTCTGATCTACTTTATGCTGAAGTTGAATATACGCAAGTTAATAAGAACTTCACATAAATCAATATGGAAGCCGTGAAAGCTAATTATGTCTTTTCATTTTCACATCAGACCACTAAGCGTAACAGTTCACATCAGTGACCCTGACCCCTTAACTCCCAAACAAATCACAAATTTGGCAATAAGGATGTTAATGACACCATTAACTGTCTGCAAGGTACGTCTGCTTTTATTAGATACCATGTGCGTTGGTTTCAGCTTTTGATGCATCACGCTCCTTTCTTTGAATATCTTCAACAAGTTGTGTTTTAATAAATTTGAAGGCATCATGATTCTGTTTAGTCTAGTAAGTAACTATTGTTTCAGGTGCATCAAAATTAAACGTAAGAATATTTTAAGTTACCATGGATATAATTAATCACATGGTAAGTTTCCTGAACACACTGCAACTAGAAAATGTTAAACATTGCACTTATGTGGTGATTTGAGAAACGCTAACAGTATGCAACGTCTTTTCCAATTAAAAAAGGGCAGACATAAAACTTCAACATAAAGTTCATCTATACTAATACTTACTACGCGACGTTTTATCGGTTTAATCTTAGGCAACAAAAAGTCCGTCGTTGCCGAGTTCAATGGTTTGTATTAAAGTCATTGTTTTGAAATGTGTTGATATTTTCCATTGATTCGTCTACGGTACCGATCCGAGACAAACAAAATTTGGTATGAAAAGTTTGCATAAAGCACTAAAGTACATCTAGCGACTGTCATTCAAACAATTGTTTATGTATCTTTTTTCTTTGCACTGTATTCCAGACAGAAATGGGTGACTGTGCCAACATATGGCTCCAACAAATAGAATACAGATGTCGTATTTTAAAGCCACCAGAAGGTCTATTTTGTTTAACAAGAACTAAAATATTGCCGGCTATCATGGGTCAGCTGTGCATAAACAAAGACTGGACAACACACGTGAACTTTTCAAACACCTCTCTTTAAATAATAATGTAAGAAAATCTGGTACCAATATTCATGTCGGGCCCATGTCCCACGCTGGTGGGATTTTATGACATACTTGCCGCTAGAAAAACCATATGCTTCTGTCAGTCTCATTATTATATCTCAACGCAGTTGTAAAACGTTGAGTTCCTTGTATTATTTTTATTTCGAAATGAAAAGTATTTAGGGGTAATGACAGTTAAATAGTTGATAGGTGAAGGCATACACAACATGGAAAACAGAGATTTCTTGTTGTGGAAAAGTGATATTTTGAAAACACTTATAGTTTACTTCAAAAACTGGCAAAATAACTAAAGAAGGTTATGACATAAAAATGACGTGTCTTTCAATCGGGGGTGGGGGGGGGGGCAAATGCTGAATAATAAGTTTTGGTACTTGCTGCAATATGTGCTAGACAAATCTTTGGTAGACTCTGACAACTTGTATTGTAGTTTCAATGACGTACATTCCCCAAATGAATCGATATCTTCTTAGAAAATAACTCATAAATATCACCGATGAAGATACTCACGGTGGAGCTTAGATGAAATGATATATTGATAATTAC